TTTGAGGTCTTACATTTAGAACTTTAATCCATCTTGAGTTACGTTTTTTTGTTTTTGTTTTTGTTTTTTTTAGACAGAGTCTCACTTTGTTGCCAGGCGCCAGGCCGGAGTGCAGTGGCGCTATCTTGGCTCACTGCAACCTCCGCCTCTGGGGTTCAAGCAATTCCCCTGCCTCAGCCTCCCGAGTAGCTGGGACTACAGGCGCACACCAGTACGCCCAGCTAATTTTTTTGTATTTTTAGTAGAGATGGGGTTTCACCATGTTGGCCAGGATGGTCTCAATCTCTTGACCTCATGATCCGCCCGCCTCGGCCTCCCAAAGTGCTGGGGGATTACAGGCTTGAGCCACTGTGCCCGGCCAAGTTATGGTTTTTTATATGGTAAAAGTTACAGGTCCAGTTTCATTCTTCTGCATTTGGCTAGCCAGCTATCCCAGCACCACTTATGAAATAGGGAGTTCTTTCTCTGTTACTTATTTTTGTCCACTTTGTCAAAAATCAGAATGTTCTAGATATGTGGCTTTATTTCTGGGTTCTCTATTATGTTCCATTGGTCTATGTGTCTGTTTTTGTACCAGTACCATGCCATTTTGGTTAATGTGGTCTTATAGTATAGTTTAAAGTCAGGTAATGTGATGTCTGCAGCTTTGTTCTTTTTGCTTAGGGTTGCTTTGGCTATTCAGGTTCTTTTTTGTTTCCATGTGAATTTTAGAATAGTTTTTTCTAGTTCTGTGAAAAATGACCTTGGTAGTTTGATAGAAACAGCATTGAATCTTTAGATAGCTTTGGGCAGTTTGGCCATTTGAACAATACTGATTATTCTAATGCAGGAACATGGAATGTTTTTCCATTTGTTCGTGTCATCTGTGATTTCTTTTAGCAGTGCTTTGTAGTTCTCCTTGTAGAGATCTTTCACCTCCTTGGTTAGATGTATTCCTAGGTGTTTTGTTTTTTGTGCAGCTATTTTAAACAGGATTGCATTCTTGATTTGGCTCTCAGCTTGAATGTTGCTGGTGTATAGAAGTGCTACTGATTTTTGTACGTTGATTTTATATCCAGAAACTTTATTGAAGTCATTTATCAGTTACTAGGAGGCTTTTGACAGAGTGTTTAGGGATGTTTGTTTGTTTGTTTGTTTGTTTGTTTGTTTGTTTTGAGATGGACTCTTGTTCTGTTACCCAGGCTTGAGTGCAGTGGCACAGTCTTGGCTGACTGCAACCTCGCCTCCCACATTCAAGCTATTTTCATGTCTCACCCTCTCAAGTAGCTGGGATTGCAGGCGCATGCCACCACACCTGTCTAATTTTGGTATTTTTAGCACAGACGGGATTTCAGCATGTTGACCAGACTGGTCTTGAACTCCTGACCTCAAGTTATCTGCCCTCCTCGGGCTCCCAAAGTACTGGGATTACAGGTATGAGCCACCGTGCCTGGCCTAGGGTCTTTAAGATCTGAAATCATATCATCAGCAAAGAGAGATAGTTTTGACGACTTCTTTTTTTATTTATATTATTTATTTAATTTCTTTCTCTTGCCTGATTGCTCTGGCTGGCATTCCAGTACTATGTTGAATAGGAGTGGTGAGGGTGAGCATCCTTGTCTTGTTCCAATTCTCGAGGGGCATGCTTCTAGTTTTTGTGTGTTTGGTATGATACTGGCTGTAGGTTTATCATATATGGCTCTTACTATTTTGAGGTATGTTCCTTCAATACCTAGTTTTTTAATCGTTTTGATCATGAAAGAATTTTATCAAAAGCCTTTTCTGAGCCTGTTGAGATGATCATGTGGCTTTTGTTTTTCATTTTGTTTATGTGGTGAATCACATTTATTGATTTCTATATGTTGAACCAACCTTGCATTCCAGAAATGAAACCTGCTTGATCATGGTGAATTAACTTTTTGATGTGGTGTTGAATTCAGTTTGCTAGTATTTTTGTTAAGGATTTTTGCATCAGTTTTCATCAGGGATATTGGCCTGTAGCTTTTTTCCTTTTGTTGTGTCTTTGCCAGGTTTTGGTATTAGGATGATGCTGGCTTTGTACAATGAATTGGGGAGGCATCCCTCCTCAATTTCTGTGAATAATTTCAATAGAATTGGTACAGTTCTTCGTTGTACATCTGATAGAATTTGACTGTGAATCCATCTGGTCTGAGAATTTTTTGGGGTAGGTTTTTTATTACTGATTCACCTTAAGGATTCAATATTGATCTGTTCAGTGTTTCGATTTCTTTCTGATTGAATCTTTCCAGGAATGTACCTGTTACTAGATTTTCTTGTTTGTGTGCATAGAGGTATTCATAATAGTCTGAGGATCTTTTGCATTTCTGTGGAATTGGTTGTAATATTGCCTTTGTCACTTCTGATTGTGCTTATCTTTCCATTTCTTTGTTAATCTTGTTAATGGTCTATCAATCTTGTTTATCCTTTCAAAGAACCAACTTTTAGTTTGATTGATCCTTGCATGGAATTTTGGGTCCCATTTCATTCAATTGCACTCTGATTTCATTCTATCTTTTTTTAGCTTTGTGGTTCATTTGTTCTTGTTTTTCTAGTTCCTCTGGGGAAGATGTTAGATCATTATTTTGAGATATTTCTAGTATTTTGAGGTTTAGCACTATGAACTTTCCTCTTAACACTGCTTTTGCTGCATCCCTGAGATTTTTGGTATGTTACATCTCTGTTTTTATTTATTTAAAAGAATTCTTTTATTTCTGCCTTGATTTCATTGTTTACCTAAAAGTCATTCAGGAGCAAGTTGTTTAATTTCCATGTAATTGTGTGGTTTTGAGAGATCTTCTTGGTGTTCATTTCTGTTTTTATTCCACTATGGCCTGAGAGTATGATTGGTATGAATTTTTATCTTTTAGTTTATTGAGATTTGCTTTATGGCCAAGCTTGTGGTCTGTCTTGGAGTATGTTCTGTGTGCAGATGAGAAGAATGAATACTCTGGTTGGTGGGTGGAGCATTCTGTGGTTGTTATTAGATCCAAGTGTTGAGTTTAAATCCAGAATGTCTTTGTTTTCTACTTCAGTGATCTGTCTAATGCTGGCATGCTGTCAGTGGGGTGCTGAAGTCCCCCACTGTTGTTCTGTGGCTAAGTCTTTTTGGTCTAGAAGTACTTATTTTATGAGTCTGGGAGCTCCAGTGTTGAATGTGTATATATTTAGAGTGATTAAACCTTCTTGTTGAATTGAACTCTTCATGATGATGTACTGCCCTTTTTTGTCCTTTTTTTTTTTTTTTTTTCTTTTTCCTTGAGATGGAGTCTCACTTTGCCACCCAGGCTAGAGGTGCAGTGGCGTGATCTTGGCTCCCTGCAATCTCCGCCTCCTGGGCTCAAGCAATTCTCCTGCCTCAGCCTTGCAGGTATCTGGGATTACAGGCATCTGCCACCATGCTTAGCTAATTTTTTTGTATTTTTAGTAGAGACGGGGTTTCACCATGTTTGCCAGGCTTGTCTTGAACTCCTGACCTAAGTGATCCGCCTGCCTCAGCCTCACAAAATGCTGGGATTACAGGCGCAAGCCACCACACCCAGCCTTCTTTGTCCTTTTTTACTGTTTTTGATATGAAGTCTGTTTTATCTAAGTATAGCTAATCCTATTCTTTTGTGTTTTCCATTTACATGGTAGATCTTTTTCCAAACCTTTACTTTGAGCTTATGAGTGTCATTACATCTAAGATGGGTCTCTTGAAGACAGGTGACAGATAAGCTTTGTTTTCTTATCCCATTTGCCACTCTGTACCTTTTAAGTGGTGCATTTAGACCATTTATAGTCAAGGTTAATATTGATATGCAAGGTTTTGATTCTATCATGAAGTTATTGGATGCTGATATGGTTTGATTTGTGTCTCTGCTCATATCTCATGTCAAATTGAAATCCCAGTGTTGAAGGAGGGGCCTGGTGGGAGGTGACAGGATCACAGGGACAGATTTCCTCCTTGCTGTTCCTGTGATGGTGAGTTCTCATGAGATCTTGTTTAAAAGTATGTAGTACCTCCCTCCTTTTTCTCTCTTCCTCCTGCTCTGGCCATGTATGATGTGCCTCCTTCTTCTTCACCTTCCACCATGATTGTAAGTTTCCTAAGGCCTCCCTAGCCATGCTTCCTGTACAGCCTGCGGAACCATGAGCCAGTTAAACCACTTTTCTTTATAAATTACTGTATCTCGGGTGGTTCTTGATAGCCATGTGGGAACAGACCAATATAGTTGTTTTGTACTTCTATTGTGTGGTTACTTTATAGGGTCTGCAGGCTATGTACCCAAGTGTGTTTTTCTGGTAACAGGTATTATTCTTTGTTTCCATGTTAAGAGCTTCCTTAAAAACTCTTCTAAGACTGGTCTAGTAGTAACGAATTCCTTTAGCATTTGCTTGTCTGGAAAAGATTTTCTTTCTCCTTTATTTCTGCCCATGAAACTTATTGGCAAGATATGAAATTCTTGGTTGGAATTTCTTTAGAGTTGACGTTGGACCTTCTAGTGACTGTATGCCTTGGTGATGTTCATTTTGTATAGTATCTCACCAGTGTTTTTTCTTGCCAGTGTTGAAGAATCTACTTCTTTACTAACATTTGGGAAATTTTCTTGAATTACTCCCTCAAAGACATTTTCCTGGTTGTTTCCTTTTTCTTCTCTCTTAGGAATGTCAGTAATTCACAGATTTTATCATTTTATATAATTCAATATGTCTCAAAGATTGTTCACTTTTTATAAATCTTTTTTCCTTATTTCTGTCTGGCTAAGCTAGTTCAAAAGACCAGTCTTCAAGTCTGAAATTCTTTTTTCTGCTTGGTCCAGTCTATTTCTAAAGCTTTCAGTTGTATTTTGAAATTCCTTGAGTTTTTTTTTTTTAATTCCGGAAGCTCTGATTTTGAAGTTGTTTATCTCGTCCTTCATTTCCTGGATTGTTTTAGAAGTTTCTTTATGTTAATTTTCAGCTTTGTCTTGGATCTCGTTGAGCTTCTTTACAATCCATGCTTTGGATTTTCTTTTTTTAATACATACATTTAATTCTATTTTACAGATGAGGAAATAGAAATCCAGAGGCTAAATGACTTAACCAAGGTTATACGTCAGCTCTGCCGAGACTGAGTAGAACCAGAACCCAGATATCTTGACTCCTAAACCGATGCTCTTCCCACTATCCCATGATACTTTCAAAAGCAACATGCTGGAAAAGAGAGAGAAGGTGCCCATTTTCTGTGAATAATATTCATCAATCTTTACATTATTTGAGAGCCAGAGCAAACTGTAAGAGATACTAAGTAATGAAGCCTAAGGGGGCATTGTAGCTTTTGGCAAGCAAATCAATTTTTCTTTTTAAGGATTTTCTAAACCTGCCATAATGGAAACCCGAAGCAATAGCAGCCCAAGGGACAGAACACTTAGAAGCACAGAAAACACGTCTTACTCAATCTACCTTTCCCAACTATGTTATGTTAGCCTTGGGATGTTAATAATTTGTTAACCTGCCAAATTATTCCAAAGGCTCAGCGTAATCAATTTTGGGACATTCTCTCCAAAAAAGAGAAATCACATCTCTCCAGTTTCTCACACAAAAAAGGCATCTGCAGTTTTTCCAATCCTAGTCTTTCCTATATCTGGGCCCTACCTGGACTACAGGGTGGGTGTGGAAGTCTCAATTTAACCAAAGTAATGAACTCAGAGCCCCTCTTTAACCTACATTACCTTCTCAGCAGCTCCCAGAAGAATCACAGTCATTTCTGGCTAGCAAGCTGAGATCTCACTAGGTGACCATTTGATCCCTGCCTATAATATATAAAAGTCCAGTGGTTGAGGAAGGGGAAGAGAGGGGGGCTCAGGTTACCCTGCAAGCTTGCTGGTGACGAGCGAGGACTTTCTCTGGGGCAGATCCTGTGGGGTGGGGATGTGGTCACCAGTCACCAGGTTCTTGTCTGGTCCTGCACTTGGCAGCTGCTTATTCTTCATCTTGGCTTTGGCCATGTTGTAGTCTCCTGAGTCAAAGTAGTTTTGCCCTTTCTGGAGTCTCTTCATGAGTAAATCAGAACCTCCAGGCTTTTGTCCTAGGCTTGGGTATTTGGCCTTTAGCTTTGCCTCTTCAGCTCTCTCAGGGAGAATGCCTTCTTTCTCCTGCGCGTCCTGCTTCTCCTCACCGGTCTCCTCCGCAGGGTTCTCTTCTTGTTTCTGGGACATGGCGGGACCGGGACTGTGATGTGTAGGGGGCCCAGGAAGGCAACCGGAGAAGGGAAGGGGGAGGGGAAACGGGGACAATCTGCGCTGCTACTTCGACTCCTGTCACTAGGGTTGCTCAGTCCGCTTTGAATTCTTTATCTGTCATTCCTGAGTTTCCATTTTGGTTAGAGACCACTGCTGAAGAACTAGTGCAATCCTGTGGTAGTCTCATTACATTCAGCTTTCTCATGCTGCCAGAATTCTTCATTGGCTCTTTCTCATCAGGGGACACTGGCACTTCTAGTTTTTGTAATTATTTTCGTGTGAGTGGGATTTTTTTCTATTTCTTTCTTTCTTGATGATGCTATTATTTTTTCCCTTATTGTTTTATCCCCTCTCTAGGGAGTATGACTGTAGAGAATGCTGGGTATTTTTGGCTTCGTTTTTATAGCCCTATGCACTTCTTTTGGTGGGTTTTACATTGGGCTATGCAGTTTGACTTACAAGCCTGTAGATGGCACTTACAAGTAAGAGTCGACTGCAGTCAATGTGATGGGTATATACTTGATCCTTGTTTGCTGTTGGAAGCTTTCTATTGCCTCAGGCAATCAACTGCATTGTGGCCTGCACAGTGTTCTGAGCCTGGCGTGGGGAGGTGCATGAAGGGTGGGGCTGGACCAGATGGGTCCCCTAATTGCCAGCACAAGCACCAGTGCAGAGTGAGAATCCAGTGGGCAGCCACCAAGCACCCGGAAGTGTACCTAGGTATGGAGCTGGGGAACCTCTTCGATCCCATGTTCTCTGCCCAGGAATTGAGGGTGGCCTAAACTCCTAATCCAGGAGAATGGGTACTCCAGATTCCTGGAGATCTGCCTAGGTTTGAAGCAGAGAGGGGTCCCCCTGCACCACAAACTCTGTACAGGAGGAATGGGGCAACTCAGGCTGCTGATCTAGGTGAGCTGCTGCTTTGAGTGCCTAGAGATCTGCCTGGGCGTGGAACAAAGCCTCCCTGCACCAGGATCTCTGCATAGGAATGGAAGAATGGATCAGACTGCTGATCCAGGTGAATGGGTGCTCCAAATACCTGGAGATCAGCCTGGGTGTGGAGTGGAGGGCCCTCCTGCACCAAGATCTCTGCACAGGAGGGATGGAGTGACTCAGGTTGCTGATCCAGGCAAGCTCGTTCTCTGATTGCCTAGAGATCTGCCTGAGCGGGGAGCAGAGAGAGTCCTGCTGCACCAAGATCTCAGAGGAGCAGGGCGGGGGACACAGCAATGGCACACTTAGATTATTTCCAAGTCACCAAGCATGTATGTGTGTATAGTATTATAAAAAAATCAGCAAGCCAAAGTTATTTTTTTATTCAAGAAGGAAAAATTATTTTTATAAATTTAGTGTAGCCTAAGTACAAAGTACTTATAAGTTTACAGTGGTATACGATACTGTTCTAGACATTCAAATCCATTTACTACTCACGCACTGACTCACCCAGAGTGACTTTTATCATTTTGAAAACAAAGATCAAGAATCACTATGTGCCAGATACTGTGCTCACTAGCAGGGATACAATTTTTAATAAGACATGGCTCCCGCATTCAAGAATTGCGTAGTCTAATGAAGGAGAATAAATTGAAAATAGAGTCGTACTAGGTAAAAAGTTCAGCAATAGAAGCATATACAGAATTCAGCAGTTAATGGCAGTAAAACGTTAAGTTCTGCAATGGGCAGTCTGGTAAGCCTTCCCAAAAAAAGTGATTTTTAAAATGTGTCTGCACACAGCCATGTCATGTGGCTTTACAGGGCAGACAGGAACAATGGGGGAAAGTCAGAGAAGTCAGTCGATAAGAGGTGGGCAGTGGAGGGTTTTGTAAGCCACATGGGGAGAGCTGCTCTTTCTCTAGGGGCTCTGATAATAATAACAGTTAACGACTGCTTGTCATTTATTAAGCAGTTGGCATGTGCCAGAGATTCTAAACCACCATTCATCTGCTCACAGCAGCCCTATATGATGAGTGTCAGTAGTTACATGTGAGAAGAGAAAGAAACTGCCGTTGAGTTACTGGCCTAAGATCACATAGCCAATAAGTGACAGTGTTGTACACAAGACTTGTACCTAGATCTTGCTTCGAGAGAGTGACATACAGAGGTGGATTTACCATGAAGCTAATGAAACTTAAATTTCAGGATTCTTCACTTGCTGGACACCTATGAATGCTGGGAGTTGTCATGTTTGAGGTAGAGAGGGAAAGCTGGGTTATAACCAGAAAGCATTTCTATGTAAGCATTTCTGGGAACTTGTCTGACGATGTCTCAGAAGAAAAGATCTGGCGGTTTTCTTGTGGTTTATTTTCTTCTTGTAAATACTTACTTTTGTAATTGAATATTATATGTCTGAAAGATGGAGAAGTGCAACCATCAGAGAAGGCTACGTGAAAGAAAATAGCATGCTTATTAACAACTCCATGTAGTTTCACACTGCCAAACCATGGCATGTGCGGAGAAAAGTAACAGGAGTTTAGACTGGTCAAAACCCTTTATTGAAACATTCTAAGGAATAATGTTTGTGTAGTTATATAGTATTCTAAGGAATTTTGACTTTATCCTATCAGAGATTCTCAACCTCAGCTATAGATCTGAGGAAGAATTGGTAGATCTGAGGAAGGGCTTGAAATATCTTTATTTTTTAAAAGCTTCATAAGTGAGTCAGATGCACAGCTAGGAATGCTGTAGGCAGTGAGAAGCTGTAGATAGATTTGAAGTAAGGAAGGGACGTAATCAGATGTGCATTTTCAAAGGGAATTCTACTTTAAATGGGTGGGAAAAGAGACTTGTAGTAGTCCAGACAAGAGATGATGTCTTTTAATGACTGCATAATAGTTCATCAAGTTAATTGTTTATTATTCTATAGTATTTATGTTTCTAGGGATGTATATGTATTCACTGTTACTCAAAAAAAGTACATCTTTTTGTTTCTTTTGTTGTTGTTACTCTAATTTTTCACTAGGACGGATTCCCAGGAGTAATTCAATTGAGTCAAAGGAAATGAGTAGTTTTGGCTCCTGCTTATAAATTGTTATAATGGTTGTAATCCATTCCTAGAGTTAACTTCCATGTGATGGGCCAAATAGGAACTTTAGAATCATTTTGTAAAGTTCTAAAAAGAACAACAATTTGGATTTTGATCGATTTTATTTTGAAATTAGCAGTAAATTATTGGAACAGTGCTTAACGTTGTATTTATGGTAACCACTCACTCAGTAACTAAATTTATCTTTCATAGATTGATGAACTCCCAGAGGGAGCTGTGAAGCCTCCAGCAAACAAGTATCCTATCTTCTTTTTTGGCACCCATGAAACGTAAGTTAGCAAAAATAGTTGCAACAGCTCTAACTTGACTCTGCTATGCTACATTTTTTTTGAATGATCTGTGACATCTTACATCTTGTTAAAATCATTATAATCAATTATATAAAATTGCCAAACTTAATCATGTATTTTTCTTCATGTAAATACTTTTTATGATAGAAGCCTTTATGGCTAAAAGCATATCTTTGCTTTCGAATGTCATTTGTGTTTCTGTGTAAATATTGGTCATCACCTAGAAGTCTCCTCTAGGACACTTTTAAGTCCTAGAGTGGTTGCTATACCACTCCCAGTAATTTCTTTTATTGCCCTTATATATTCCCCTTCCAGAGAAATTTTTTTCCATTCATATTTCACAGTACGAAGTTATGTCATCTTAGACTCTTTCACCTTGTTGGGCCCTGAAGGAAGCATACCACCTTTTTTTTAGGTTTTATAGCTGTATTTGTTGGTGTACAGACTATGCCAATGTAATAAAGGAATCTAAAAATACAGCATCTCAAATAATATAGAAGTTTACTTCTTTCTTTTGAAATAATTCGAAGGTAGGGAGGTAGATTGGGGTGACTACTCTGCTCTAGGGACCCAAGCTGCTTCTGTTGTCCTGTCACTCACTACTAAAACAAAAAAACTGGCTCAGCAGCACATGTGCATCCTGCAGGCAGTAGAAGGAGGAAAGAGAAGAGGTAAAGAACAAGTGTTCCTTGTAAGGAAATGACAAGGAAGTTACATACATTAGGTCTTCCCTTAAGTTGATAGGTTCCTGGAAACTGTGACTTTAAAGAAAACATCAGACAGCAGGCTGTCAAATAACATCTCTTGCTCAGCATTGTCACAGTTTCCAAAAACCTGTCGACATTGTGTGGACTTACTGTATATCATTTATACTTCCATTCTTTCCAGTGACAAGAACTTGGTCATGTGGCCACATCTAGTTACAAGGGAAGCTGAGAAACAGTCTCTAGTTAGGCAACTGTGTACCCTGCTTTAAAAATTGGGAGAAATATCCATTATAGGAAAAAAGTAGAGCGTGAATACTGTGGAATGGTTGACAATCTTTGATACCCTAAAAACATATATGATTATTTCCAAGAAAACAAATGGAACAGAAATTGGAAATGTGGAGAAAAGCTAACAACTATCACAAAAATCTTTAAATGTCTTCAAATTCAGGGTCATCACTTATGTTCATTGAATGTTAGCAGAGCCTGGCATGAACTTTCTTAGCTTGTTGTCTTTGCCACCCGACATCTTCCTCATTCTTGTCTTGAAAAAGAGTCAGGGAAGCCTCTCAAGACAGATTTTTTTTTCTTGTGAGAAATAATTGTAATTTATTTCAGGAAGTTAGTTTTATTTTCTTTTGTATTATTTTTATGTAAAAGACACCGTGGACTATGCAACTGATCATGTTTTTCTCCTTTGAAAGGTTGCTTTCTAGCAACCTCTAGAAAAACATTAAGGAGAAAATAAGTTTTACTTGTAATAAGTACATAGGGCTTTCTGATGCATATTTTTGCATTTTCCTTATTCCCTCCCCTCTTTTGTTTTTGTATCATTGGTTTGCTTTTTTTTTAGAACCCATCTCCAAGTGTTCTGGTTGTACCGTAATCCATATGTGATTTTTTGCTGGTTTGATCATCCAGAGGCAGATTTTGAAACACCTGGGGGAGAATGAACTTCAAATAACCTGTCATAGCATTGGTTCTGCTCAACTTTTACTAAGTATTGGATGTCCCTGGACCTGAGATTATACTTGCCCTGGCAAGTATGAATG